AGGACTTGAAGCACTTACTGATGAAGATCAAAGACCACAGCCTTCAGTATGGATTACACCTCAACATAAAGAAAACAAAAATCCTCACAACTGGACCAGTAAACAACATCATGATAAACAGAGAAAATATTCAAGTTGTCAAAGATTTCATTTTACTTGACTTCACAATCAATGCCCATGGAAGAAGCAGTCAAGAAATCAAACAAAGTATTGCATAGGACAAATCTGCTGCATGAGACCTCTTTAAAGTATTTAAAAGCAAAGATGTCAATCTGAGGACTAAAGTGCGCTTGACCCAGGCCATGGTATTTTCAACCACCTGATATGCATGTGAAAGCTGGACAATGAATAAGGAAGACCAAAGAGGAATTGATGCCTTTGGATTATGGTGTTGGCAAAGAATATTGAATATGCCATGCACTGCCAGAAGAACAAACAAATCTGTCTTAGAAGTAGTACAGACAGAATGCTCCTTAGCAGTGAGGATGGCAAGACTTCATCTCAAGTACTTTGGACACGCATTCAGGACATCATGCTTGGTAAGCTAGAGGGTCAGCGAAAAAGAGGAAGACCCTCAATGAGATGAGCTGACACAGTGGCTGCAATGATGGGTTCTGAAACATAGCAATGACTGTGAGGATGGAGCAGGACCAGGCAGTATTTTGTTCTGTTGTACAGGAGGTCACTCTGAGTCAGAACTGACTCAACGGCACCTAACAACAACAACAACTGTACCTTTAGTATTTCTTGCTTTTAAAACAAGTGAGACAGTTTAATTGAGTTCTAAGGTTCTAACAGTTTCAATATTTTATTATTCTACAACTTTGATCCCTTCAAAGAGTAACCTTTATCTCATTAACAATGAAAATCTTTAAGTATATAAACTGTTGTAAGGTTTTCAACATCTTTAATCTTCTGTATGCTTCTAATCTGTCCCAAGATCTAAGCAAACTCAACAAAGCTGTTAGATTTGTTCACAAGTCTACTTGAAGATAAATTTTGAAGATGGGTAACAGCTTTTCTTTATTAAGGAATTTTTATTACAGTCTTGGCCTAGTAAGTGAAAAGTTTCCCTAAGAATAAGAGTTTCTTAAAGGATTTTAAAAAGGAAATAAAAGCATTTGATTAGGGCTTTTAGGGCTCTTATTGACGAAAACTAAACTTCAAGTATAGACAGTACAATGAACAGGAGATCCATGACATGCTTTTTGTTAATGATAAAACAGACTCATACCCTGACATGACTTTCATAGTAAATTGAAGTAGCCTCAAGTTCTTAATGAATTTCTCAATCCCCAGTCTTAGTTTTTATATTCTCAAAGTTCTAGTCAGAGAGTAGTAGTTTTGAATATACACCTGAGGAGTCTCATGATGAAACATGATGTTTTGTTTTGTTTTTTGGAAACATGGTGTTAATGTGAAATAATCATAGTAACTGCTTATGGTTTAAGGATGGCCTGTTACATCTGATCATTAGCAATATAATCTCTGAAGAAACTATACAGTATTTATTCAGCATGTATCCATTTTAATTGTTCATTTTCTCAAGCATAAACCAAAACTTGAGAATACCGATAATTTATGGAACAAAAAAATTTTAAAGATTACTTCAGCATACAAATTTTCCATGTAGAACAAACTCCATCATTCTAATCCATTGGAAGGAAAGCAGGTATGTAACTCACTTTTTCCCCACTGGGGATAGGGGAATGAAAGACCTCAACTACAGTCCCCAACAGAGGTGCTAATGGCCTCTCACCAGGTGACAGCCTT